AGATATCTCATTTCTTTATCCAATGCCCTCTGTGTAGAGCAGTGCATGCGTGCTCTTTTGACAAGTGCCCTAAATGCTGCCAATCTGTATCCGATCGGGTTGCACGAGTCCGCCGGTATATACGTTGGGAAGTCCGATTCCTTGCGGTATATAGATGTGCTTATGCTAGACCCTCTAATTGCAATGCTCACATCCAGAAAGTGGACCGTGAAATCACTATGCTGTTCCAGCTCGATAGTTAGGCCATAAGGGTGGTTGTTTACCTGATCCACAAAGAGGTTGATGTCAGGGTCATTCCTCCACAGTATAATGACATCATTGACGTAACGCTTGTATAAAATGATGCTGTTGAAGAAATTTGGAATTATCTCTTCCTCCAATTGTCGGATGACAAGTTCACATAGATCTCCTGAGACCGCACTACCCATAGGTACACCTCTGCCTTGGTTATAAGTGATTCCATTGAACTGGAACACAGAGTAGTAGCATACCAGGTGTGCCAACTCCAGAATTTGTTGGTGTAACCGTTCATCATTCACGTATTGCAAAAGGAAGTCTCTGATGGCACAAAAACAAAATGGCATCTCAATGGAAGGGTATAATGAACAGAAATCCATGATTGATATGTAAGCCGGTTGCTCAGTATGTTTAAGGATTTCTATTAATTCATTCGAACTGGAAATAGTATATCGGTATCCTTGTAACTGTGGTGAGATGATGTGATGCAAAGCTGCCTCCAATTTGCGGGTGTGAGATTTAGCTTTATAAACAACAGATCTTAGCTTCTGCCCTTGTTTATGGGTTTTCGCAAATGCGAACAGTTTGGGGGTGTCTGGTGCGTCCATGACTATATCCTGCATCCCTAGCCTCTTCACCAATCTCAAGCCTGAAAAGCGTTTAACTCTGTCGTGGAGTTTTTCAATCACTCCGGTTTCCTGCTCAACACATTTGGTATCCTCGATATATTCATACAACTCCCTTTCGTAAGTTTCCCTTTTCATCACTATCAATGCCTTGGTTTTATCAGCCTTAGTGAATGTGATGTTATTATCGCGGCTCCATCTAATCGCGCTTGATATGTCCTCTTTGAATCAATACACTCGTGCTGACTTCTTGATGTTTTTAACTTTGTAGGTGGCCATCCATCTGTAATATCCTTTTTGTATATTCGACATTTGCAAATAGAAATATGCAAATCCTACAACTCATTAACCCCCATTAATTCCAAAGATGAAATCACATTATCTTTGGCATGGCAAGCCCTAATACAGAAAGGAGATTCAAATTAAAACGACATCGGTACTTATAAGTTAAAAATAGCTACACGCATTTTCTCCGACTTCCGACACACTCAAACAAATTTATTCATAGAAATACATAATCCGACATACAAATAGAAGATCGTTACGTAGCAACCGAAGTTTCGAGTTGGAAGGCATGTGATTCCAAATGGAACTCGAAATACGATATTTGAAATTTCGTTCCAAAGACAGCTGGCATTCTAACGGATAGTTACAAATGGAACATAGCCTGATGAAGGATCCAGTGGGATCTGAAAACGTTAGCCTAAGCAATTGAACATATTTCACATTGGTTATAGGTTTGTAGAAAGTTTATTATTAAATTGCTGTCTATGCTAAATTCTCTTTCGGCTAAATATGATCATGTGAATGCAATTAAAAACTTCTTTGATGCAGCCCATAAAGTTGGATATAATACTGGAATTTGTCTTTTAAGCCAAAATTCTTGATATCCATTTTTTAATTTCAATTTTAACTCTTCATTTGTTCACAATTCTACCAACGCCTCCTGTAGTGATAATTCTGCTGTTTGTAGGTTTGAGAAAGATTCTAGTCCCCAATCTTGAGTAGTCATGTCAAGGACATCCTGAAATCTATTTGTAAAATCTTCTTCAAGTGCTTTCAAATGTTAGCAAAATACCACAATGTTACCACTATTTGTTTCCACAGAGGAAAGATTTGGAAACTGATAGAATTGTCTTCAACCTAAATTTTGTTTGTACAAGGCAAGTTTTGGCACTAATTCAGAAATAGTTGCCTTTGCTTTTAATCAAATTCAAATCATCTCCTTGCAACTGTAGATTTGTTTTATTAAATTTATTATATAAATCAGTTAAATAAGCTATATCATTCTTAAATTTCAATATTCCAGGATGTCCTTGACATGACTACATATAAGCTTGATCAAGAAATATAAGTTTTGTTGATTGAGCCAGAACATACACACACACACACTGTCATGTTCTGTGTGGTGCACTGCACTGCTGCAACTTGTTCACGTACTAATCAAAAAGGTATTAGGAACAAAGCTATAATGTACCAATATCTACTTTTAATACAGACTGATCTTGCTTAAAAAACATTTAGAACTATTTGTTGAAACATGCATACAATGATTTTTAGTATTAATCAAACTTTTTAGTGCATTCTTGCGAGTATTGCCTGGGAGGATCGCAGTTGATCCTCAACACCCCCTAAATTTTCCTTGCACCAAAAAGCCCTACTGGTGGCATTACCAACCCTGTTGGGAACTACCAGTATAAGAAAATGGGACTCCAAATTAGGTATATAAAAATGAAGTCTGTATTATTGCATTTTCCTGATACCATTTAACAACACCCAAAGATAAAAAAGTTCATTTTTAAAAACTATAATTTTAGTTTTATCTAAATGTATATTTAAAAAGTAATCATTGCAATATTTTTCAATTATTTGGATCTTTGTAGGTCATATTGCATATCTACAAGGATAACAATGTTGTCAGTGTAGAGAAACAAATGTAATTCTGTAGCTTCAATATTAATACTTACATTATTTGATTCAATCAATGAGTTAATCATAATCAATCTATTTATGTAGATATTAAATAATGTGGGACTCAATGCATCCCCTGCAATACACCTTTAGTAACTTTAATCAAATCTGTTAGACCAAGATATCTGATTCTGATCAGTTGTATGAAGAGTCAGTGAAAAAGTAATGCATCCAATTTTATTTCTCTTTTATTTTACAAGAAAACTAAGTGAAATTTATACAGCATTTAGCCACAACTTTTATGATTAAGTTCTCACTTTTCAATATAATCTCCATCCTTTTCAATAGTTTTTGTCCATCTTTTAACAAGGATGTGTATTCGTGCCTGATAAAAATCACTTTCTTACTCAGCCAATGGCAAACAAAATTTTTCAGTGTTTCCTCACCTTTACAGTGATGCCCACAATGAGCTTCCTTTAGTGGCCTGACAAATGGTAGTCTGATGGTGCTAAGTCAGGGCTGTATGGTGGGTGAGGTAAGATTTCTCACCCAATTTTTGCAATCTCATGAGTGATTTGTATTCTGTTGTGTGATCTTGCATTGTCATGCAAAAGAAGAACATTCACCAGAGCTTTCACTGGGCGAACTCACTGAAGATGTGCTTTAATCTTCTCACGGTGCTGATGTACTGAACAGAATTTATTGTGCACCTGTGCTCCAAAAAATCCACCAAAATCACACTCTCCACTGATTCAGTTGCAAAGAGCAACTGAATTGGTGTATGTCATGACAATGCAAAATTTGATGCATTTGTGGTTGCTGTAATCCAAATTCTCTAGTTGCTTTACCTATGTTTGTAAGTAGATGTGCATAAAAATGTGCCAAACCTTTGAACCCATTAAGATATTGGTAAAATGGGCCATGTTTGCATCAAATGATATATTATGTTTAACATATATTTTTATATGTGTAAGTCTTGGTGCAGCTGGAAAGTGCTCATGAAATATACATGTTGCTTCTTGCACATTTTGTCTCATTTCCTCATAAAGTGTAACCATTTCACAGTAGTATTCGTAAGCATAAAACATTATAGCAATGCTCTACCAATTAACAAACTACATGACATTAGCCCTTTTAATGGACAGCAGCATCAAGTGTATCATCGTATAATTTGTCACAACTGCATTTTTAATTTTCATCTTGTTCTTATGTTGAAAATTTGTGTATAAAACATGCAGTAGTTCTGAGGCAACATCTATCCTCTTTTTTGAATTAATCTATCTTACTTTAAACATTGCAGTAAAACCAATGCATCTTATCCATACATTTGTGCAATTCAAAAGGATATCTTTTGTGCCTGGATAAATTTTAAACTGAACATCCTGTACACTCTGTTTCACAATAAAGGTAATAAATTTTCATTCAACATTTTTACAAATTAACTTGGATAATGTTTAAAATCTATTTTATATATATTTCACATTATTTTTACAGTTAAAAACTTAAAAATACTTTTAATGTCTGTAAAATGTATAAGAATCGGGGCCGGATCATCACATAGACAAATGAGACAAATGTCTAAGGCCTGGTTTTTTGAAGGGCCCAGTCAAACTGTCTATTTTGAAAAGATTTGTAAATAAGATAGTTTACTTTTCTGTTAGACAACTGTATATAATAAACAAATAAACAAAAATATATTGCTTTTTATATGGTTACTAGCTGCAAGGACCCGCTTTGCTGGGTTTTTATTTGTATGTAATATAGTTTTTTTTATATATATAAAAGACTGTTTTTCTAAGTAATCTAGAATCTAGCTGCAAGGACTCGGTTCGCTGGGCAAAAAGTAACGATAGTGAAGATTAAGATAATTACATTATAACCAATCTTACCCGTTCTCACAGAATGCAAGAATTAGGTCCCCCATTAAAATGTCGAGGGCTCCAAAGTGGGTTAATCTGGCCCTGATAAGAATTGTCTCAAAATATAACATTATTATATAAGATTATAGTGTAAATTATTTATATTAATATTTTGATAGACTTTAAACTTTGTCACTTTATAGATTATACTATTTTCATTAAAAATGTTTTTTTTTCCTACGATGTCCTAGACAATAACTTTCAACTATACCATATTATGTTAAATATGTAATTAAAATAAATGGTTAATATTCTCATTTTTTAAGACATTATCTTGTAAAATTACAAATATATAAAATAGACAAACCCTTTTCAATGCCTTTGAAATTCAATTCTATTGATGAATTTTGTCCAAAATTTTTTCCAACTAACATCATTTTAAAACTAGTAGACACAATTGGATAAAAATATTTTTTGCTTCTTAATGTTGTTAGGAGAGATGCATTAATTGAAAAATCATCATAAATCTCAACTATTCCACTGGTAAAAAAGCTTTCTTCTGATACTGTTAGATATACTTGTTGATTATTTTGAACTTCAAGAAAATAAATAATGTCATTTCCCAAACTGGATGAATGAATAGTTATGCTTCCATTATTTCTGTAATAACCTCCATGTTCTAGAAAATTTTCATTTATAAAATTTATTATTTACATTGTACATAAATAATTAAATGATTAACAAATATAACTTACTAGAAATGTTTACTTCGGCTTGAAACTGAGATCCTTTTATTAGAAACTGACTACTAAATGATATCCACATTGTATTATGACTGGAGATTAAATAACTATCTAAAAGAAGCAAAGATGTAAAATTTTACATAGAATAATCATGTCTTTAAATAATTTTAAAAATTTATTACACTGTTGATTATCAAATTATAGCTGATACAGTAAATTTTATATATCAAAAATTTCAATCTTATATCAGATTAAACCTTTAATATAAAAAATTATAATAAAATATTTTTAATAATAATAAAATGTAAATAAAGAAAATACATCTTATAATACTAATAGCCTGGGATGCCCCCTTGTGGGCGTTCTTTACAAATTTCCATAAGGCACTGTTCCTTTGAATTTTTTGTTCCTATCAATATGCTCTACAGCTCCATTAAAGTCCCAATGGTAAGATTTACCTTCTGAATGAAAGGGTGGCAACCTCCCAAACTGTAGCCCCATGTGAACAATAAAGTCAAAGGAACCCTACCTCTACTCGCGACCCTTCGTGAGATATAAGCCCCTGAAAATTCGTATATGTCATTTCCGGTCACATGACATTGTGGTCAAAAGGGAGCTTACCGCGCAAAAAAATAACATGCGCTCGTCCACACTTGGGGGGTCGCCGACCCGCTCATTCGTAGGGTAAATTGTGGCAAACAGGCAATCACATGACCTGTAGAATAATTTTCGGAAGGCTATATCTTGGGAAGGGTCGCACGTAGGGGTATGGTTCATTAGACATTTATTGTTCGCACAGAGGGGGTCGCCACCCCTTCATTCGAAGGGTAAATCTTACCATCCCAGTCGCGTCATATGGATCTGTATTTCTACGTATTAAACATTCTATAAATACTTTAAAATAGTTTAATTTGTTTATTTACCCTCGCTTGTAAACTTCAATTTTAAACATATCCGCCATTTTTTCAACAAATTTCCTGAGAGTCAATGCGCGACGCTCACTGAGTCACAGGATGTTATAAACGTGCGCCACAAGGTTAATCATGGCATATAATAAGGCAAGGCATATAAGAATTATTTATACCATTCCATGGTATAAATAATAAATTCATATCAATAATAAATTCCTATTACAAATAAAAATAATTTATTGTTAATTTAAAATCATTGTTAGGGTGCCTCTAGTGCCCGTTTTTGGCATACCGTTACGCGGACAGACAGATACCCGTTCAATGGGTTATATACATAGATAATCAAGATGGGTTGATAATAATAATAATAACTCTCCCGTGGTCACCACCTGGTCGTGGTGGGAGAGCCCAGTAGTTTTACAGATCCATAAGGCAATGCAGGCTGGAGCACAAGCTCCTGGTAGGGACACTCATGCCAGTAAGGTCTATGGGGAGAAATGAAGCTAAGAGTGACCACACACTCACATTATGTGGAGATAATTATCATGGTAGTAACCAGATCTAAGTATGATACCGGCTCGGACGTCGCCCGGGTTAACAAGGTCCGCGTTCGTGGGTTAGGCAGAGGCTCACGTTCGAAAAATAGGCTCCAGTCTCCCTTGGTTACCGGTGGCGAAAGCAGCGCCGGCCCAAGCATGGCTACTGCAATGCCCTCAACAGATGTGAGGAATCAACCTAGCCTTGGTGTTTCTGTGGCAATGCATCCACAGACCACAAAGGCTGGAAAACCACGCCAACGGATGAAATGGACAACAGAAATGAACGAGTTTATCATCCGCACTTACTACACCATCACAAGACTCGAAACAAACATGACAGCATACAGACAACAACTACACCATAGATTCACACAACAATATCCTCACCTCACTGTCACCGAACAAAGGGTTGTTGATCAAAAACGAACAATTATACACAACAACCTTATCCCACAAACAACACTTGAACTTATCAAACAACAGGTTGCTGATCAAATACATCAACAGACAGAAACATTTAACATTAATGAAGATCACGTAACCTGTCAGGATAATCCAGCAACAAGCACTGATTACAGCACACACACAACAAGTACCACTAATGATACTGCAGGCACTTCCCCATCCATCACTGATAACGTAGACATAGAATTAGTTAATACACTCTCACTTATATTTCAGGAAACACTCACTAAATATACAGGCACAGATCCCACACAAAGACCACGAATACCGAAAATCAACACGTCAAAGGTAGTAGGAAAAACACTAAATTATGTAAACACTCACTTACTACCAAACTACATTCATTCAATTTCTACACTCTCAGACATTCATACATTAGTTTATGCTGGGGCAGTCACAGTAGTAACACACCATGGACTGAAAATACACTCACAGACAGACACACACAAAACACAATTCTATCACAAGCCTGCCTGGCAGAGAAGAATAGAAACACAAATAAATGACATTAGACAGCAATTAGGCAGGCTGACACAATACACTAAAAACAACATAACACCCAAATTAAAGAAACAACTCAAAAACATTTTCAAGAAAATCAAAACACACACAAAACATGAACATCACAACACACACATTACAGAATACATTGATACACTAAAACAGAAATTCGCAGCCAAAGCACGTAGACTCAAATGATACAAAACATGTACATTACGAAAACAACAAAATAAATTATTCACAAACAATGAAAAACTTTTCTACAGATAAATCAGTACCAACTCCATCTTCTCTGATGAAATACTTGGGAATGGTCAAATATTTAACCAAATGTAGATCTTGCTATTTGGTATATGGAGAGTTTATCTAAGACTCAGGAAAGAAATAACACAAAATTTGTGGTAAATAGTAAATACAAAGGAAGAAAGTTCTTGAGTTTCCCTGAGGGTTATTTCTCTTCAATTACACATATATCTCTATAGATATATTTATAGGAGGACGCTCTCTCTTTAAAAAATGACTAGACTAACTTAGTATCCTATATTACTTATTAACTTATATCTAATTTTACTATATAGGCCGAATGACGATTTGATCCTCGAATTTTTCTGGGTTCAGTACTGGATAACCCTTAGGCTTAGAAAAATAAAGATGGGTATGTGGCTTCTATATGATGGTACTTCTATTTGGGGTTCATCTACTTCCAATATGGGTCCTCAGTATAGTCTCCTTTTATAGACTAACCCGTAGATGAGAGTGAAAGCAAACATCATCAAATGTATAAACCTCTGTAAAATCTCTAGGGACCCCAAACAATTTAGATTTCCCTTATACTCACTCCTGACCTCCTGTATAGGTCCATCGGAGGATTTCTGTTTCTGTAATTTTACCTCCTCTCTCTTCCTATCTCTAATTCCCCGAACAACTTCTGGTTTCGCTATTTGCTTCTGACGGCGTGTTAATTTTGTTTCTTTAGCCATCTCATTCGTTTTCTTTATACTCTGTTTCCCTTTAATTTCTCTATTACTTATTACAGGTTCGTCTTCTTTATGGCGTCTTCTGTGAGGAAACACCTGAACACTTCTTATTACACTGGTCTTGGAATACGTCAAATCCATATTCTTTTTAGCTCCATTTTGACTCAATCTACAGGGTTTCCTTTTTCCGGCATTATTATTCGACTGCGGGGACTCTTTCTGACTGAATCTCCGCCAATTTTCTTCTTTGCGACTTCTCTTTTGGTCAAGTGGAATAGGAGAACAAAAGTGCACATCCCGTCCATTGGCCAATATGATTTTCTTATTTAAATAGTCTATTTTTATTCCTTCACCCTCAAGGATATCTTTGCCGATGATACCGTCGCACGGCGATGTCACCACTGGGTCCACGATTCTCCCCATCCTGCTAAATTTATATCCTCGTAATTTATATAGTGGCGATGCTATGCCTCTAACTAAAATCTCTTCACCGGGAGTATTTTCCAATTTTAATGGCATTGAATAGTGCATCAAAACATTGGGTTTTAGTTTTTCCGTAATCCTTTTTGATAAAAGCGTACTCTCAGCCTTCTCATCTATTCGAACTTTCACGGGAATATTATTTGCATATATAAGTACAACTGGTTTATTATCAGAGTGAATTGAGAAATATTTTCCTGTCCAAAACTTCTTATCTCTCCTTGTAGGGCATTGTTTGGGATAGACTTGATTATCTGGATCTCGCCTCCTATAATAAAAATGCGATTTCCTTTCACCTCTATCGCTAATAGTTTCTACCTTCTTTAGATCCCTAAAATCTTCTAACTGTTTCTGCAATGTAACTAATTTATTCTCTCTCATTTTCTTATTGGTATATAACTTTTGTTCATCTATATCATTCTGCTCCTCATTGCCAAGAGTCTCCTCATCTTTTATTACTCTCACAAACCCATGAGGACACGAAGTTAATACTTCTATTTCCTCCTCCCTTATAGCTACTTGCAAAGCTTCATCAAAGGTCTCAGGGATTTTAGACATGACCCTTTGCCGAATTTTTATGTCTATTCCATTTAAAAACTGCACTCTAAGCCTCTCATCTAATTCTTTTTTCTTGATCCTTTTTATAATTGCTATCTCTGTCTCACTAGCTCCTTCATGCTCTATCTCCACCTCTGCAGCCAAGGACTGTAGTCTAACAGCATAAGCTTGTACATCCTCATCTCGAGCTTGTACACATGCATAAAATTTCTGAAGCCTATAAGTATATGGAATTCGTTCGAAGTGATCTATCATAACCCTTTTAAAGGTCTCAAACTCTTCTACATCTTTAATTCTTTGATCTTTGCGAGCGAATTCTCGTGCATTGCCAGTCAATTTTAACCTTGCCACAGCCAACATTTGTGACTTGGTCCAGGCAGCTACTCTATTTACGTCAGCTAGAGCATCAAAGAATTCGGTAATACGAATCCCTCTTGTATCCCTTGAATATATGGGAAGTACAGTAGATCCCCCTATAAGACGGTAGATACGTTCCGTTCTTTATGAATCAATTTTGTAGGAATCATAGTTTACGGACTACGGCTGTTTGAAAGGTTTTCTTTCATAAAATTAATCGATTCTAGACTAATTCGACTCAACATTTCCAAAATACGTATATTTTTTTGAAAATAATCCGTATAAACTACGTTATAAACAAAAAATTGTAGGATTGCTTACCG